GAGCTTCTCTCGAGGAAAACTTGTGATTGCTCAGAGATTAGTCATGCAGAGGCTCTGCGAGCAAGCCTCGAACTCTACATATTTTGTAATGTCTTGCTGCAGAAACAGCTGTCGCCTGTCAAAGTGAGACGCGAGATGCAGCTTTAGCCTGCTGTGGAAAAAAAGGAGCTCGCTCTGCAGCATCAGGCGGCTTCAAGACTGAAGAGCTTTTGTGGAGAAATGTGCTTCAGTCAAATGCCACTTGAAGCACAGTTGCATTTCAGCCTAGCCTCTGGAAGGGACCAGCCTGAGCATATCTTTCCATGAGCATCATAAAAAGTATTGCTAATTTTTTTTCTGGAAATTAATTACATTTTACTTATACCTCCGTTTTACCTGCACAGTAAGGGAAAGATCTTACTCCACAGTGCAGTTTCTCAACAGAAGTTTTCCTGGCATGCTTTAAGCACAATACAGTGTCTTTTGCTTCTGAGCCCCAAGCAGGTTATTGAGCATTTTTCAACATCTGCCTGGACATCCCTAGGGGTTTAGAGTACAGCTGTGCTAAATGCCGTGCGAGGCATTGGGGCATCTGTGTCTCTTCAGAGTTTTTCAGGAGTCCAAGTCCTTCTGAAATCACTGGGAGCCTAAGAATCTGAGTTAGTCTCAGGTCTCTTCCCTGTGGTTATTGGATGAATTAAAGTAAATAAGGGAGATTTTGTGAGGTTTTTTTCACTTAAGCTTTCTGCTGTTAAAGACAGCAGAATTGTAAATCATCCTTTACTGTAGGAGCAATTGAGCCTGGTTCTGGATACAGCAGGAATACTCAAAGTAGATGAATATCATTTTGCATACTACTGTTTTCAGAGCCCAAAATACCTTGAGGTCTCAACAGAGACCAGCTTTAAAGCAGATTATTTTTTCTCTGAATAACTGTTTTTGGAATTGGCAGAAGTCTCATGTCCTTTTTTCAGTTTGAGAATTGGTCTCATCCGCATTTAATGCTTTTGAAGAGCGACTGCATAATTTTCAACAATTTAAAACAGAAAATTAAACAAATCAAGTTTCAAGTTTAGTCCATTATGCTTTCTTCCCTTGTTTTCTTGATTGGAATGTGAGGGTTTCCCAGGAGAGTTAGAGGTGAGTTTGCATTCTTTTCCTTGAGAAAGTTGAATGAAGCATCTTCTGTTTTCACATGCTCATCATGCTAAATATAATAAAGAAAATCTTCTGAATTTTTCCCAAATGGATGGAATTGAATGCTTAGATTTGGATAAAGCAAAGAAAGATAGTCTAGCTCTCCTGCTGAAGACTGATGAGTTGGCATAAAACCTAGATGTATCCTTTTGTAGGTTGAGTTAGAGTATGTCCATGCAAACTCTTACCTCTGGTTCCTAGAACTCTGAGTCATGGGGGCTGTATGATTCTGTTTTTTTCATGTTACTTCATGTTTTTCTGGTTACTTGCACAAAAAATTGACCTTTTAGAATGAGACATAGAAATATCAGCCTGTTCTCCTTGCTATTGCACATCATACTAGGATATAAACGTATAAAAAATTTCAGAACATTTTCTTCTATGACTTTTTTGACTTAGCAGTTTTTTCTTTTTTTTTTTTTATTTTCTTTTGGTGAGGTGATTACTCAATGAATACATTTAATTGGTTTTGATCATCCATAATAGTACAGCCACAGACAAATCCAAGTAGTAAGGCTCCAATTCAGAAATCTGCATTGAGTAGTGATTTGCTTCTTTATATGCTCAATTAAGAGCAAATAGACAATATAATTCCTTTAAGCAGTATTTTTAGCTTGAGTGGTAACATGGGTTTACATCTGTATGATTTACTGTCCCTGTCTGTCTGTGTAGTCCTCTAGTTCATTCTCTTTACACATGGCAATTACCGGACCACAAATGTATTTTCAGGCTGAACCTTTCACCCTTTTTTGCTGTAGGAAAAACAGTTACATCCCTGTTCTTGGTGTTTCGGGGAATCATGGTAGTGATTAAATTGCCTCTCGAGATTCCTATACTAACATTCTAGCATATCTGTAAAAGAATATTATTAGCATCAGTTATACTTAATGATTCAAAGTCTTTAACCTAATTGTAAACAAGAAAAAAAAGTTGGTAGGTTTGGGTTGTTTTTTTTTTATTGTACTGATGAGTGCACACGTATGTGCTCCTGGACCTGAAGAGTTTGGAGACTGAGAACAAGGTACCGGGGTTTACCCCCATCCGCTTGAAAATGGGTTTGCAGTACCTTGACCTGAGACCGTGTGATTGATGAACAACCTCTCCATAGTGTGAAGCACCCAGAGACAAAACATGAGCAGATGTTGGCCTTGTGGCATTTGGGCTTCTCCTTATGTCAGATACGGGGCTTTGGGCAGCTGCATGGTGCTGCAGGCAGGCTGCTGGAGCAATGCTGGATAATGCTGGTGGGGAATCGAGCCTATTCAGTGGGATTCTATCCTGTTTTTTTTTTTTATGGGGCTGAGATGAAGCTGCTAAACTGAGCAATGTCAGTGGTGAGCAAGGAAAAGACAGGTGGCTCCAGAGACCTCCAGACACAGCTCTAATAAGCTTGCACTGCATTTCTGGCTGGTTTTATTTTGAATTTGCTACTTAATTTTAATAACTGAATAGATATCCAAGTTGGAAGAAAACTGAGAGTGACAGGACCCTCAACATCCCCCAGAGCTTCAGCAGTGGTACTCATCCATGGCCTCACACACGCCAGCTGAATCCTACGTGCCCAAGGGCAGGGCAGAGTGGAGACACAGCATCCACTAGCAGGAACTTGAGACCCTCTGGGACTTGCAAGGGGAGCGTGTGCTGTGCCTTGGCAGGGCAGGAGTGCACACAGCTGCAGGACACTGTGGCATCACCAGGCAGCCTCCATATGCCTGTCTCTCTCCTACTCCTCAAAAAATTAATACGCTTAAAAATAGTTTAGCTGCAGGGATGCACTGTGAATTTCCTTAGTTTAAATGAACTGGTGCAGGGACTATATCCCCAGCTGGGGTTAAACAGGGCATGTATTGTTGCCTGCCTTTTTACATCTGGGAATAAGCTCATAGCTTGTTAACAGTACCTAGCAAGTGGGAGAAAAAAAAGTGGCCTTAAACACAACTCTGGCAAGGAGAAAAATCAAATGGAAAATATGCATTTTTAATACGCCACTGGGTAAGTATATAATAGCAGAACAACATTCGTTGTAACCTGATATCCCTCAGGAATGAGGGAAAAGCTGACTGCTTGCTCCACTGAGCCAAAAAATAAGAAAACATGTAAGTGCAAGTGTGTAGTCAGCAGCGTAAGGAATAATCTCAGCTTCAGAAAGTCAAGAGCAAAGCTGGAGTGTTGAATGTTAAAAGGCTAACAGTTTTACATGGAAACACAACTTATTATTTTCAACCTATTAGTAGGGCTGTTTCCAGTATCCTAAAGAAATTCCAGATCCTTCTGCATTTATCCACCCACGAGATAGCTGTTTTGGCAGAATCCACAGAAGTATTTCATGTTAGCCATCTTCTGATTTCTTCCTGGAAACTAAACAGATTTTGGATGTAAAAATGCAATTCATTACAATAACCAAAATGTATTTCCTAGAGCAGATGTGTTGTTTTCAGAGGTCCCCCCGCCTGATATTTTATCAAGCCCTTTAGAACAGCTCCACAGTTGCATTTCATTTGAGTGCCACTCAGCATATACAATAGGTTTGGAAAAGCAACCTGCATAGCCTTCAGGCACCTGGCAGAGTACATTTTTCGCACAGCATGCGGAGAATTAGGCATCCGGCTCCTGTGGCTGACGATGTGCACAGCTTCTCATCCAGGCTGTGCTGGAGCTGTACCGCTTCCTGTCCAGCTGTGAGTGCCATGCCACTGGGAATAGCTGGTGAGCAAAGGGCCACAGCCCCTGGGATGTCAGTACAGCAGCTGAACGCATGCACATCCCTGGGGAAAGGGCAAAGGTGCTGTGAGGTGAAGACTCGTGCATCAAAAATATGCTCCCCTAAGGAACTGAAAGTATCTGCAATTATTTGGAAGGAGGCTGTACAGTGTCTGTCATTTTCAAAAGACAATGATGGCAATTACAGTTAGAGGGAATTGCAGATGTTCTGTGAAAAGAAATGAACAAGCCTAAAATTGCTTTCTGGGAAGTAAGTCTTCAAGATGTCCAAATCACCTGATTTTTCTGCAATGCTTTTCTAGGCAGCATTTGAAAGTGGATTAGAAAGTCGTAAATATCAAGGCTGATCCCTGACTATAGGAGGAAAAGAAAAAAATTGCTCTTTGGGCTCTTCCCAGGGCAGCCTGGGCCTCCCTGCTCCACACAGTGCTCTGGGATCTGCCACATGGCAAGGGCTTCTGCAGAGACTCCTTCAGCAATCAGACCGTTTCAGATGAGGGCAGTGAAGTGGCTTCTGTCCCAGGGCAAGGCGTTACTTCCCCACCCTTCCTTAGCTGAGCTGTCTGTGGGTACCACTCACTTTCAGGTCAGTGGAGTGGGCAGTTCCCATATGTTTTTGTGTCCTTTGAGGAATGCTTGTTTGTAACTGGGCACCCATACCTGTCACCCCTGGAAGAAGCATCCCATATTTACACACAATGTTTTACTTCAGTGGTGATGGAGCTGTGGCCCTGGAGAGTACCCTGTATCTGCAGAACTGCCATGACATACTCAACTCTTGCCTAGGATTTTTCTGCTCTATGTGGTATAGGTATCCAGAAAGGACTGTTGTTGATGCTGTGAGTTGAACTTGGGAACCATCACCCTTCCTGTCTCCATGTCAGATGAATTGTACTACTCTAACTTATCCTGTCACCCACACCACTGCTCCCCATGCAGCCTGGGTGCAAGGCAGTGCCCCTCCTCCTCCCCCATTAAAACCAGCCCTGAGTACTATCAAATGCCAATGCTTTGGGGTAGTCAAGGCAGCTTTGTAATAGCATTCCTTGTCCTCAGGAAGGGATTTATTTTCTTCCTTGTAATACTGTGGCTTTTCCCTAAAGGATTACCCTCTCACTTATTTGCTGGAAGAGCGAGGTGCTGGGGAAGGGCATTCGGTGAGAAACTGATGGCTGCAGCCACCTGAGTTGTCTGCTAAGAGGTGAGTGAGTAGTACGGTTGTGCCCAGAGGTGATGCCTCCTCTTGGCAGCTCCAGGGAGCCTGGCTCCAGCTGGAGAGCCTGACCTGCCTGTGCATCTTGATGCCCTGGCACCGAGGTGGGCAGTGGCCAGCCCCCTGGGTTCTTTGAGGGTGTAAAACAAGAGGTGGCCTTAAGGCTGTGGCATGAAAAATCCCTGGTACTTCACAAACTATGCACATTACGTTGTTTTTCTAGGTTACCTAAATTTTCCCCTTAGTTTCAGATGGAAGTGAAACTCTTAGATGCTGTCAAAACTGGCAGGGAGGTGGCAGGGAGGGGGGAAGGATAATTTTGCACAGCAACATCTTTTTTTCGAACGGGTTATTTGATCAAGTAACTGCAACTTTCCAATTGCTCCCCTAACTGCCCTCTGGCCTGTACCATGAAAGAAATAAACACATTCAACTTCTTTTTGTTGCAGGAGAACATCTGTGACCCATTAACATCGGATCTGGGCTGCGCAGCCAGCTTGGAATCACGGTTTGGGCAAATTTGCCATTTGCTTCTCCAGGAGTTTGGCATTGCTGTTCTCTAATATGTTATCAGCATGTTTATTTTTTGTTATAGTAACACTGCAGGACTTAAAAAAAAGAGCTACAACAATATTTTACTGTGTTTTAGTCAGTAGTGTTTCCAATTTGGGTGTATTTTGAAATGTGTTTTACTTCCATGCTGTGTTTTTCAATGTTATCAGAGCATCTTCCTCCCTCAAGAACGACTGCACACATGTGGAACTACTGCATCCTTGACAGCCAAGCTTTCTTCTGACATATTGTGGTACTAAACTGATTCTGGTTGCTTTCTAGTTTGACCAGGCTTTAACTCTTTGGGCTAAAATTTCCTACCTGACTCCAACTAGTTTATTTTCATTATTTTCAGTTGCAGTGAAAAAGGGCTCCACCAGACTGAGGAGTGAGGTTAAATAAGACTACATTTTACCCCCATTAAAACCTTCCATAGCTATTGAAGTTGAAAATCAAGCCACATGGTAACTCTGCCATGGCTCATGCCATCTCCTTTTCCAGTCCATTGAGCTTTGCCAGCAGCTGCGCCCCGATGAAATACTGTGGTCTTATGAATGAGGTGCAGCCTGTGAGACATGACATGACCCTCCAAGTGCTGCCAAGGTGTGCCCAGCTTCTACTGGACAGCATTTGTCATGCTGTGAAATCCTATTTCACTGTTTTATTTCTAAACCCGTTCAGGCACCATGGCTTTTTACAAAGCTGGTATCTATTACACCTGTTTGCTACAGACTGTCCTGTCAGTCTACTTGTGGGCATCCTGTACCTGATTTGATCCATAGGGTCCTGTTTTACATGGATCATTCCTATTTTTGTGTGGGTCTCCCTCTCCTTGTCATTCTCCATGGTGGTGCAGAAGTTGCTGCCAGTGGCTGAGCACCAGGGGTTTTGCCGGGGAAGCCCTATGAGGCAGGAGAAGGAATTTGTGCCACTGCAGCTGGAGGATGCATCAGACCCTTCACTGCCCGAGTGAGGTGACATGGGTAGAGTCGACGCTTATTTTTGGGAGTCAAGGGAATGTTTTCCTCTTGCATTGAGATCTTACTGATGCAGTTTAGCACTGTAGTTCTACAAATTACATGCCCTTGCCTAGAAACAGTGACAGGTGGGGTTGTACATTGAAAAATTAGTACCTGTCGGGAAAGCACAGTTTTACTGATGCCTGTTTTGCTACTCTTTCCCTTAGCTCGTAGGTAGTGTAGTTCTGCATTAAATGTTGCCTTTTGCTCAGTCCAGGGATGTGCAAACCACTTACACCAGCGCGGTGCCGCAGGATGGGAGAGTCGCAGAAGCTGGACCTCTCCTGGAGGCATGGCTGCTGCGTCACCCCTTGTTTTTATTGTGCACGTTCCTACCGTTGTTTTCTTTTATTCACAACAGCTTAGGAACACACATAGCAATGGCTTAGAAATCATTCCAGAATGAGAGAATAAGTATGCATGGGTAAAAATCTCAAAGGCAGGAAAAAATTAAGGATGCTTTTCTTCCCCTTGGTCCAGGCATGACCTTCAGCGATAGAAACTCCATGTGTGCCCCAGATTTTCTGCTCCCCTACTTTTTCATGCCTAGGTGCTGCCAGGCTCTCAGAGCAGCGTGTCATGTTTTCTACATGATGCCATCACTTCAAACCGTGCAGTGAACTCATGGGTTTAGGGAGTCCAGCATCATTGTCTCTGAAGCTTTCAAAGCTTCGCTTTAGTTTTAAATGCCTCTTTAAGCACAGACAATGCTCCAACAGGCTTGCTGAAACTAAATGAAGCTTATAAAGCTTTGAACGCTATTGTAACATGGTGGGTCCCGCAGGAGACTGCAAAATCCCGCTGTGTGCAAGGATCCACCACGCTTTCAAGTGGATGCACTGTATGTGCTAAAAAATGTAGGCAGAGCAGGGCAAGGAAAGGACAGAGCATGTCAGCATATTTTTTTAATTACCTAGCATTTGATTGATACCACAATGGTAACATTGCTTTTTAAAATAAAAATGTTTACTATCCTTTCTTCAGTACACAGAGGAGTTTGGGATATATATATATGTATACTTGAGATTCCAGAGCAAGTGGCTTTTTTAAAATAGATTGCCTAACCATATTATTTTTCTTGTCAATCTTTCATAAACTGCATCATTATAATAACTTAATATTGTCCTACATTCATCAGGTCTTCTGTGTGATCATAAAACAAGCAAAGATGCTTGTTTTACCATGCAGATTTTTTCAATGAAAAATGCATGAGAAGGCAGCAAAGGAAAAAAGTAGGCCAGGTAAGTACCCTATTTTTCTGTCTGTGTTAAATCACAGCCTAGAAAGTCAAAGAGAGCTGGCAAAAATTCTGCTTGGAAACAAGAGCTTGATGTTTGTTATCCGCGGTAATGAGTACGGTGTCGTTAACAGCTTATTGGGGCAGTGCCGCTGCCTGTTCGCTTTCCCGTCCTCAGAGAGGCGATGGATGGGCTGCTGACCCAGATTGGGCGCGTTAAGACGAGAGCGATTCCTCCCTGACAAGCCCCAACAGTGACAACTGGTCATTAATTGTAAAAATTCTGCCAGTGTGTGGTTTTAGAAACAATTTGTACTTCTTTAATTACGCTGCCAGGGCAGGCTTTGTCCCAGACACTCTTATCAGGCCGAATTAGGCTCAGCCCAGCTCGAGCTGCACTCACCATCTTTGCTAAAAATCTTTGCTAGGAATGGGGGGATGCAGTGGGGGAGTGCATGACGGTAATTGTCACCAGGAGGATGAGAGAAACTCTTGTTCCCGAAATGTTTTATTATTCTAATGATGCAGAGGGGCCCCAACAGAGATTGCAGCCCTGCTCCACCAGGAGTTACACAAACATTGAGATGGAAGGAGAGTCCCTGCTCCCAGAACACTGTCTGGCTAAGCAAGGCAGCGGGGCAAACTCCAGGGAGAAAAGGGAGGGCTGCTTATCTTCAGTCGTCACACAGGGAACTGAGCACAGACGTTTACGGCTGTACCCTGCCAGGTCCTCTCTCGCTAATTTTTTTCTTTCCCCTCCCCTTTTTTTCCCCCATGAGCTGCTCTTTGGGGAACACATAGTCCTATGGCAGAGGCTGGGGTGGGACTGAGCCCCTGGTGATCTGTCTGGTCACCTGGCGGTGGGTGTTTGAGGAAAGGCTGCCCCTTTGGTGAAGAATGAGCTAGCTGGGCAAGGAGATGACCCAAGTGAGGGCGTTAATCCCCTCTCCATCTCTTTTTGGGATTTGTAGCAAGCTGCACTTGCTGATAAGGCTGGCCCGGGTGTGTGGGGTGGGTGTGGGTATGTACAGCCATGGGGCTGATAAAGCAGAACCTGGCAAGGGAGGGAGGCCACTGAGGAGGGTGAGGAGAGGCCCTGAGCTCCACTGGAGCCTGATGCAGATGCCAGGATGGGCACATTCCAGCTCATACCAACTGGGCTTGTCACTGCTGATTTCCCAGCTGGGGATGGCAAAGCGAAGGTAACACTCCAGAGCAAGCCGACCACTTCCCTGAGGCTTTTATAAAAATATATCACCTTTGGTGCAGACCATCTCTCAAACTGCATCTAATGGAAACACCTAAATAGATGACTTAACATTAAGCATTGACTGCATATGGTGCAATACATGACTGCAAATGAAATGATTTCATATTTCAACTAGGAAGGCTTCTGCTGGGCTCAGTTCCCCCAGAAATTACTTTTGCCTAGTGTTTCTGTGAAGTCTCACATCTTTTTGAAAGGCAAAATGCTGCAAGTAATGGGGATTTGTAATGGCATTTAGGGCTGGATTAATTTCTGTGTGCTTTATGATTTGCAGAAGTTTACAGCAGTATCTCCAGACTGCTGTAGGTAAAACTCAGCTCCTTTTCCTTGTAGTTCAAGGGCAAGGCAAACAATAAAAATAAATATTTCAGCAGCACATCCTAGTGCTGAAAAAACAAGTCAAAGATTTTAAAGTATGACAGCACAGGGATTTGTTTTGCATGTATAATAAGTATGTGTACAGCCTCAAAAGAATCTTCTCTAGCTGGAAAACAGCATCATCAATAGGTCCGTGAGCTTTGGAAGACCACTGGCATATTTGCAGGTATCTGGGGGTTCTGCACAGTCCACACCAGGTTGACGTGCGGGACCATGCCCTCCCAGTGCGTTATCTGACAAGTTCTTCATCCAAATATTTTAGCGGTTGTTTGCTTTTCCAGGTTGAGTGGGGCTCTGGACTAGTCAGTAATTTCTGAGGAACAGAAGATTACCGTGGTAGCCCATCAAAGAGGGCCAGCAGGGACATGCTGACAGACTTTGTTTCCCCCTGCGCACCAGCTCCTTCTCACCAGTACAGGTCTGCAGTGAGACTAGAGGAGTGAGGTTGCTCTAAGTAAAATGGATCTGTGGCAGCGAGAAGATGGCAAATGTAGGTAGGATGCAGTTGGAAAGCTGGTGGTGGTGGTGGTGATGTGCGCGTAACCAGACGGTGAGGGATGTGTTGTTAGGAATGCTCAAGCTGCTTAAAGACTATGTGAGCAGAGAGCAGGGTTGCATTTCACATGCCAGCTCGCTGCAGGCAGTGCTGTGGGTGAGGAGGAGCAACACAGCCCCTGTCATGCTGTAGAGAGAGGCAAAGCCTGCCTGGGGGAGTGTGGGGCCGGCACCCGCTGAGCGTGGCTGAGGGAAGAATGGGGCAGTGAGGGCTGCGAGACACGGGGGTCTCGGGTATCCCCCTGAGCAACCAAGGCTGAGAGAAGCCTGGAAGAACCCAAGTATCCTTTCTCATGATTATAGAGCCTTACCTGAGAGGAAAAGCTTCACCCTCTGCTTCCCTCCTGTTCTGCCCACCCAGCATCGTCCCTGACCTGTTCTCCCCTGTGCTTTCAGTGGTTGGTGACAGCTCTCCAGGTTTACCTGGGGCTGGCTCAGGAGCATTTCCATGTATATAGCAGTAGGTATGTTTCATTTCATCTCACATATAAAGAACAGTCCCAGGCATATTTTGCTGGTAAAGAGATGCACAGAGGCACAAGAGCAGGAATGTAATTAGGTTGCTTGCTCCCATCTGATGTCTCTTACACAACATGTATCTGCCCATCTGATTGCAACGTCTGCATTATGGCCCTG